TTTCCTCCTCGTTTTCCTCTTTCCTCTTGCGCTTCTGACCTCCTGCCAGCTTTACCTCCTCCTCCTCCTTCTCATCCTTTTCCTGGTCTTCCTTCTTCTTTTGTCCCTTGCGACCTCCTGCCGGCTTAGGCTTTGCCTTTTCCTTCTCATCCTCTTCCTGGTCTTCTTCCTCCTTCTTCTTGCGCCTGCGACCTCCTGCCGGCTTTCCTTCCTCCTTGTTCTTCTTTCTTGCGTCCTTCTTCTTGGAACCACTTTCCTTGCTGGCTTCATCTTCTTCATTTTCTTCATCTTCCTCGTCCTCGTCTTCCTCATCATCCTGATCCTTGTTCTTGTTGCGCTTCCTCTTGGGAAATGATTCTCTTTGCTGCTTTGGAGTGATGGGCTCCACAGTGTCAAGGATTGCAGGACGATCATCGTTCCTGCCGTTTTCATTTCCGAGGCCAGACTCACCTTGAGACATGTTCTTCTCCTCACGTGAAGCTTCCTCAGGCTTTTCCTCAAGCGAAGACCCTTTCTTTTCAGACTCCACACTTGTCACCTCCTCCTTCATCACCTTGGACTGCATGGAGTTCTCCTGAACTGGAGCCTTCTTAATCTCAGGAGGGCTTTTGGATGGATCTTCGGACCTGGGACCCCAAGCGGCATACGACACCACTTTCAGGCAATATGGATTCTTGGCGAGAGGATCAGGTGGGTAGACATGTCCTTCGGGCTCTGCTATCGACCACAGATCAGCATCAAATGCATCACCCCCCTCTGTCACCTCGGCTTTTACTGGAATGAAATGCTCTGGCATTGGGAAAGTCTCCATGTTGTCCGTTCCAAACGGCACAGGCGCCGGGTTCGAAGGTTTGGCATTGCACTCCAGCCTTGAAAACTCCAAGGTCAAGTTTTCAAGTTCCTTTTCCTCTTCCTCCAGCTCAGCCAAAAGCAGGTTGAGACTTTGCTCTTCCATCTCCAGCGCCTTCAGCTCTTGCATGTCAGCTTCAAGACGCACAAGCTCGGCCTCTTCTTCTTGAACCTGAAGTTGGACAGCTAGTTGCTCATCAAGCGAGCTGGACGCAGGGGTCTTAGAGCCGCCATCCCTCACAGGAGTTGCAACTGGCCTTGGCTGCAGCTCTTGTTCTGTAGGCACAGGAACCTTGCCTTGCAACTTGCGAAGCTCCGAAACATCTCCCAAAACCTTGCCACACTTTTCACACCGGAATGCTTTGGTTGGGTCTTCGCGGTCATGCTTCAATATGTGGTGCTCCCAAGGCTTCCCAGGCAAGTCCATGAAGGATAGCGGATCAACCTCTGCTTGAGCGGGCGCCATGTACCCAAGACCTGCAGGTATGCGCACTTGCACTCTATACTATGCGCAACGGACATATCATTAAAACAGGATGTGACATACACACACCTCACCAGAAACCATGGGTGTCTTATCGAGCTGAGCGGCCAGGCTTCGGGCCATCTTCGTGAGGCTCTTTGGTTGAAGGAGACTTGCACGGGCTGCCGCTGGTTGGGTCGTTGATGGCCACCACCGCTTCCTCCAGGAAAAAAAACTGAATTTGGGTCAAACATCTTGAACCTCTTGGACATTCTTGGGCCTTTTCAACGCATTACGCATTTAGGAGGAACATTAATGATAGTCCTCAACTTCAACTTCCGGGTCGTGTTCAGGATCTTCGCTTTCAGAGTTCTCTTCACCTGCCGATTCAGCTTCAGCATCTTCAGGGGCAGTAGCAGAAGCCAAAGAAGAACCTTATGGCCACGGATGGCAGCAATCGTTTTGACCCCATGTTGTTTCAAGGGCTTGGGGCAAGAAAAATCAGCATGCAGAGAGTCAAGAAGATCAAACATACATAATAGGAGCCGATGTGCTAGATGCAGACCTGTCCGGAATAGGTATCCCTGCAGCAGACATGAGGATAAAGAATTCTGGTTCCCTTGGGCGGTGTCCTCGAGATGCCGCCCGGCTGAAGGTGTATGTCAAGGTGCGGATGATCCAAGCTTCTAGCTTGATGTTTTGACCTGAGCACTTTTCAAAACATCCCTCACCGCCCCCCCGGAAGAAAGCTGATTATTATCGATATGTGTTGCTACAAATTCATGACATTGAACAACCAAGTTCCACACGTTTTGGAAATTTTCGCCCTCTAGGCCAGCAGTGGTTCAGAAATAGTGTGCAAGCTTCTGTGAGAAGAGCCACTGAAGGACGGAGTCCTAAGATTCCATAAGACTCCATGCATGATGTCTCAAGTCACCCAGTTGATCTCAGCTAACGCAAGAAAACGGTTACATTAATAATGCAAACAAAGTTCCCATGTATTGCACCACTGGGGTTAATAGCTTCACATTCTTGGTCACTTCTAATCTCCCAATCGTCCTACGATCGGAAACCTTGGCAATCCCTCCGGTAGCAGCGAGGTCGCACAGATGCTGGTCCGCCTTCCATGCTTCAACCACGGAACTAACCACGGTTGGATCCATCATGATCAGCTAAAGGCGCTTGTGCCAAAACCCGCACTAATGCAGGCAGTGTGCTCCACAAGCATCGAAATAAACGGCCCTTTCCCCAATCACGCCTTGACTCCAGGAGAGATCGGGATGCTCCATGCGTGTACCTGCAGCACACACAGAACCTGGGAGGGCCCAGAAAGCTTGGGACGTACATTGGGGGCACTTCTCGTTCACGGGTGGGCGCTCCCAAGAGCAAAAATGGCTCGCAGATGCTCAAGGTTTAAGAAACCGCTCGTTTCCTCAAAATCTGCTCGTTTTACTAAAAAGTGCTCGACAACCAGAAACCATAGGTAGAGCACTTATTTGTGCTCGTTTGAAGTTCCAGGTATGTTTTAATGTCACTAGGGGTAGGACATCCCTTTAGAGATCTCTCTTTCATGGACACGTGTCCCCTGGCTGATGTGTTCCAACCTAGCAAGAGACGGGCGTGTTCAGAGCTTTACCAGAAACGAGGTGATGTGCTGCATGTTCAGAGCTCCAGCATCGCCAACTGCTCCTGCCTTTTTCGTTGGTCCATCATATGGGTGCTTCAACTCAGCCAATTTCACTGAAACCGTCCTCACAAAAGATTACCGTTTGACTATTGTTCACACAGGGTTGGTGGAACATATCCGAAATGCGTTTTCCTTTAGCTAATTCTCACACAGTTCATAAAGCACCCTATGAGCCTATGAACCTATAAACCATCCTTGGGAAACCATGACATCCATCTTCACCCCAAACCTGCTTGTGATAATGTTGGCGCCTGATTAGTAAAGGGCCCCCCCCCCTCCCCTCAAACAAACAGGGGATCCTCTATAATAAACTATCACCAAAACAAATCTGGATTCCTGGTGAGGGATCTTGTGTAATTGATTGTAGTATTCATTTTCCTTTCATAGATTGTATTAAGCTTCCTTTCTCAGGTGCTTTGTAATTGTTCTCAGCAATCCTTTTGCTTTGCAGCCTCAGATCTTCAGCTCAAGAGAAGCCCCAAGCTTTCAGCTTCTTCCTCAGCTTCCATGGCTTCCTAAGTAAAGGAAGATTCCATGCGCATTTTTTCCAGTGGAAAAAACTTTTCACAATTGAGGACCCAAAAGCAAATTTATTATTGAGGATCAGGTGCCTTCCTGGTCTACTACCTTGAAAATTTGGTTAGGAGCAATTTTTTATAAAGGGTTTAATTGGGGAATTGGTGGGTTTTGGTCAGCTGTCAGGTTTGAAGAAACCTAGAGAAAGCTATATCAGCTAATTTAATGAATCATAAATAATCATAATCATTGGCCTCAGAAGGAATTCAAACCCTTATTAATTGGGTTTCCAATTTAAAATTTAGGGCCCAAAAAAGATTTAGCATTATAGAGGTACCATTTTTCAAACAGGGGGGTCTGAATAAATTTGGAAAATTTAGCATTATAGAGGACCTATTTACTAATCAGGACCCAACATTAACACTGATCCCAGTCTCTTGGAGAAAAGATAAGAAAAGTCTCCCGGCCGATCTTCCAACGCGTTCAGCTGCTGGATCAGGAGGCTGGGCTCCACCCTCGCAGCACGGGGCCCACCAGCATGGCCCGAGCCTCAGACACTGACCAAAACGCGATTGCGCACGGTTTGAGATTCGCAGCGACCTCAGGCAGTTCTGGTGAAGGAGGCAGTGCCGAAGGCGGCTTTGGAGATTGGTCGGATTGGGGATCAGGGGGAAGTCTCAAGGTACAAATCATGACAGACAAGCCCGGAAGGAGGTCAGAGTCTGAGCCAGGGTGCTATTTCAGGTTACTCGCTCACACAATCTAGCATCTCAAGTCCTGTCAGCAGGTCATTTGCTGCTTGTGCCTCGGCCAGGCACGAATGATCCAGTCACTGGGGCAGCAAATCCAAACACTCCACCAGCACCACGGAAAGGGTGTCCATTCATAGCCCCTGAGAGGTCATTCGGGGTGTCCACTAACCACCCTTGGGGGTCCAGGCATGGCCCAACATGATTGGCTATACCATGCTATACCGTTTGTCATGTTCGCCTCAAATTGGGGTGCTTTGAAGGCTCGTAGGATCTCGTAAGTGTCGTAGGAGTCTCTCACTGACTCTCCAGTCCCTTCGTCGTCGTGTCCGCTGTGGAGTGTGTCCCGACCGCCGACCGCCTTGCAGTCCAGGCGGACAGGGAGCTGGTGAACTTGGAGGTCAAAACCCACGTGGTTCTGCTGGGTGACAGCACTTTGGACAACGAACGGCGCCCAAAAGGGTCTGGGAGGGCGCTGGGAGGTGGGAAGAGGTTGGACGAAGAAGCGGAGTCAATGGCTGTTTTGTGGGGCAGAATGCCGATGCAGACTGCAGGTGAGTAGGAGAATGACTTCAAGGCTCCCGTCGGCAAGTCAAAATGATGGCTACATCTATGAGTCAAGGCCTGCCTCTTCTGTGAGTAAGGCAAATCAACCCCATTACAGTAGCTGCGTAGCTTTTGTTGACCAGGAAGCAGTCGGAAGCGCACGACTTCTGTGGCTCCATGACTCAACCTGACTCGAACCGATGCGGTGTTGCGCAGCTCGGAACGGAGCTCGCCGGAACGGGGATCGAATTTTGATCCGAAGGACAGGCGGTTTTTCCACCCATTTCCACCCCATGGAGAGTTTTATTTTTCATCCTGGGTCCTGGACCGATCATTACTTGTGTTGTCTTCTGTTGAATTCTACTGTTGAGAGGTGCTTCAAGCGTCAATTTGTGTGTGTGTGTTGTGTTTTTTTTCTTTCTGGGGGGGAGGACGAACACAGTTTTTATGGTAGTATGTTCTGTAGTTGGCAGGGTTTAGGAATATGTGAGCATGTGGGTGTTGTGCTTGCAGGATCTTTCAGGAAGCAACACCATCCTTGAGGGAGTTGTGCATGACTGGTGTCATGTTGCTCCACATTCCTTTGGGTCAACGCTAAGCCGTACTTTCGAAGCAGGTACTTGGACGTAGATGCTGGAGATCAACCCGTGCGCATGCAACTCTCCAGGAGGTCCATGGGATCCGACGTAGATGGCAAGACATGGATCGATGCACGTCCGACGGCATGGGATGTGAACGACATGGTGCCGAAACCCGAAACGGAAAAACGGCCGGATTCATGTGACCATGATGTGAAGCCTTCAGAGAAACATCTATTCGATTTCGGGAAGCTACATCATCCAGAAACAGTTGATGTGATGTCGCTTCCCGGTTGTACCTGGAATGGCTGTGGCTCAAAATACAACTTTTTGACCCTTGGTTCAGAGCACATCAGACTCAGAGTACCAACCACCCAAAATATGCTCTCTTCATCTCTCTTCATGTCAAAACATAGCTGGGTTCCGGGCTGTCAAATCGTGCTTTGACAGGGCATCACACAGTCAACACGGCGTGCCTGGCCACTGGCCCGAGTGAGCCCACCTGCGGAGAACTGCCTCTTTTGGATGGGGATAGCTCTAAGTCATTTGCTGAGGGAATAGTTACGTGTTAGGAAGCCATGTGGGGATTTACTTATAGCTGGCAACATAGTCGTTTGGAAATGTTAGGAATAATATTGATAGTCTATGAGTTGCTGCACTGTTTTAAGTTTCGTAAACTTTAAGTGCCCATGTCCATAGTTTCCATATGTTTCCATGTCCATGTTCCAATCTTTAGACCACCAGAACTGGTCTCATCGATTTCGCAACAAACTCCAACTCCAACACCCTCGGTGCTCTCCTGATCCCTCTGAACCCGCCACACCGGTCACCGCCAAGCGCCCCCGCGCAGACGCTCGCGACCGCCAGGTGTGAGCAGATGCATTGGGA